TTGAAACTTTCATCTGTTATACAAGGTTTTAGTTAGTTGTGAGATATAATATTTACTTCTCTTTGTGCTAGATTTCATTGTAAAGAAAATTAATTAATTATTAAAATATATGCAGTTTGTAAATTTAATTAATTGAAATTAATTAATTATTGGATTAATTAAAGTAAAGGGTCTTTGAGGCATGGATCCAGTAATTTAACCAAAGAATCCAAAGGCCAGCCCCATATAAATTCTGGACATGTTCATTTATCACATACCCCAACATTAATTCCTGATGTATTCAACTTGTCCAAAAATGATAATCATAAGCAATATTTTATAATTTACATTGTCCATTTAACTCAAATAAAAGGCTGAATCAGTAATAAATTCATTAGTTGTTTAGTAACTATCAGGAAGGCTATTTTTGCATCTTACTCAGCAAAGAGAAGGCTATTTGGAAAAAGTCAGGGGAATATTTCTGTCCTAATTCATTTCCTATGCTAAAAAAAAAAAAAACTATTTGCTTTGTCTTGATAAAATTAACATTTAACTAATTAATTGTAATCTTCTGCATTTCAATACATTATATTTTCAGGAACATAACAATCAGAAATAATTTAAAATGTAGGTTGCTAATTATATAAGTGTGTGGATGACTTCATAGATGCTTCTAAGGAATACTATAGCTGATATATAACAAATTAGTCTAGATTGAGGAAGAGGAATCTGTTGTCATCAGAATACTTTTGTATAACAAGCAATATGCTTTTAATTGTCCTCGATCATCAAATCAGTTATCTATAATAATCTTTATTTTCTCAAAGAAGCATCCTAGAAGCTCCATATTGGGAAAAAAAATCTTCTTGATTAGTTCTTCGAAGAATTATATTTCCTCTCCATTCCTGTTAAAGCCTCTGCCTCTAAAGGCTGGCTGCTTCAGGAAACAAGATGAAATGAATGCATGGAAAATAATCATCAGTACCCTTTGCAAATAATCAGGGATTGGTATGAGTGAATTTTCCAAAGTACATTTTGTAGTTGGGGGACTTACCTGGAGGAGCCTTCTGGGATATTTTGTATAGTAAAATTGTGCCCTGCTATAATCTGGTCCCTGCAGGCTTTTTATTTATAGGTTTAGATGTTGCTCTTATAGGAGACTTCAGTTTTTCTTTTTAATTTTCCTGATGCACAAAACGTTATTTTAGTTCCTTTGACACATTATTGGATTCTGTTCATTTCTAAAGCAGAGGTAACTTGAGTTCACCATCATAGAATAAACAGCAGGTTTTTTGTTTGTTTGTTTTTTTAAAAAAAACAGTTCTCCATGATCTGCCAATTAGGCTTGCATAATAGCTTTATGGGACAGATGTGAGCTGATTTGGGTTTTCCCCAAGTTTTCTTCATTTTAGGAGAGATCTTTTAAATGACCAGTATTTTTCATCCCCTAACTTCTCAACAAAGTTTAAAACATGCCCAGCATAGACAAAACCTGCTTTGACTATGCAGATTAATTTGAATAAACCTATATGAGTACATTCATGTTTATGTACTTGGAAATCTAGAGATCAAGGAAAACCCATCAGCCAGCCAGTACTTCTTGTTTCTAGGTTAGATAACTGCAGGGCAATCTGTACTATTATTTCAAGCTGGCCAATAATTTGTTCTCTCCCTAAAAATCTGTTCCCCTTTTCACAAAGAAAAGGGGAACAAATGTTGCAAATGTTTTTCCATTGCTTTGCAATAAATCTCAGAGGGGAAATTGTGTGATGGAGATGTTGATTGTTAAACAAAATGATGAACAAATGTATTGAGAACTCTCAAGCACTTTCCAATGTTAATTACTGTTGCCTTCCAAATTTCAGTTATTTGTGAAGCCATACATTGGGGCATCTTGTAATGCCGTTTTGGATACCTTTTCTTAATCAGCTGGGAAACTAGAGGAATTCTCATCGTTATCACCAGTGGATAACCCTTAAATCACAAGTCATTGGATTCTTGCTATTTCTGAAATAGCCTTTGTTTAAAGATAAGATGGAATTAGCACAGGGACAAGTCATAATTATAATGCCCCTGTAGCAATGTTGCAAGATTGACCAGGGCCAGGCCACAATGTAGCCTGGGAGGGAGAAAAAGTCTGAGAAAGAGTGGTTTCCTTTTTGTTATTGTTCCTATTAAATAGATATTTTATTTTTAAAAAGGCAAAAAATCAACCTTTGAAACTCATTGAAACATCACCTGGTAAATCAGTTCAAATAAGTAATCACTTTAACCAAGGAAATGGTCAACTGGGTGTTTAAAAGATTCTTATTTTCTGCAATTGAGACTCAAAGTTGAATGGACCATTCATCTCTTTATATCCTGTATGCCAAATTATTTTAAATAAATAGCAAACTTTGGGGATGTGTAAAGGAGAACAGAATTGAGGCATGGAAAAAAAATCATTTTTAAGACTATGAATCTAACATAACTCAAATATGATTAGGGGAGAGACTAGAACAGTTTATACAATTTTGAGAAGAGTTGTTATTGGTTCCAATTACATCTTTCATCTTATTGCAAGTGGGATATATGTCATCCCACATTATATCTTAGAGCCTCCACCATAATAATGAACCATCATATCTCCTCGGATGACATAGATTTAATTTACATTGCACAAGGCTTACTAAAGTAACTAATGTCATATTTAGTTGTCATTAAGAGCAAGAGGACTAGAGACTGGGTTTTGTTTTGTTTTTGTCCTGACCTAGTGACAACTAAAACTCTACTGAAAATAAACATTATTGCAATGTTAACTGCCTGGAAGTGGGTCTGAAAATGGAGAGATTGGAAAAACTATATATCCACTGCACTGGAACAACTCTGAGTGGCTCAAAAATTGTCCCTTAATGGGGCCCTCTTGTTTTACTGTTTTTCTCTTTTTCAAAGTTATATCCCTGGACAAATCTGTTAAAGAAGCATCTATCAGTAGTGATTTGTCATGGTGGTTTAATATCAGTTCTGTACATCATCCAAGTCAGCCTGCTCTTATACCTGGTGAATATTTGAAAGCATGTATATATATATATATATATATATCTGTAGAAATTTGGCATATTTTTGGCCAATTATATGTACTTAGTCATGAACTTAAAGAGATTCAGATGAATGAATGAAGGGTTCAGACTGATTCTCCTTTTGTCAAACTCTAGATATTCAACCAGATTCAGGAAGGATATGCATATTTGCATTAGTTTAAATACGGTCCACCTCTGCATGTCTTTAATACAACTTTGGATTTTGCTGAGCAATATGAGTCAGGTGAAGGAAAGCATGGCTCTTTTTCATTCTCTATCCGATTGTGTAAAAGCTAATGCAGTTTTGTTGACAACCTACCATGAAATCCTGCATGTATTTAGTTGAATGCCTCAACAGGACTACAGTGTATTACTTGCTTAGAGGAGCAATAATAATTAATAGTGACTGAGAAATTCATTCTATGTGATTCCCCCCCCCATATATTTACTCAGTTGGCACCCCTAAAAAGTAAAGTATATTCTGATTCTTCTCATTTGATACTTTTTTCTCAAGCGATGCTAACCATTGACGATTTTACATCTATATTATTCTTCTCAGCCACGTTCTGTGCAAGATTTTTTCAGTTTAAAAAATTTAGTTATTAACACTTTTTCAATATGATACGTTGCACATTAAAGTCGCTGTTAGCATTCATTTTCGCCATATGTTGAGCACATTGAGTGATTACCCTTATATTACTGATAGATGCTTTTAATCACCTCAAAAATAATACTTTTCATGAATTCCATCCAGATATAACCAAGTTCAGAAATGATTCATTGAAATCAATTGGGTGAATAGATCATAATTAACAAGTTCTATTGATTTCCATATACACTACAGAGTGTACTATAGGCATGCTCAGACATTAAATGCCAGGCAGAAAATAGGGTAATGTATGATGGAACCAGATTTTAGAGGTATATTTAGCTGATGACAACTAGCAGTAAGAACTGCTCTTTTAAGAAGAACAAAATCACTAGTAACTACAATGTACATGGGTAATTGTTGAGCCACTTTACAAGATGCTACAGATTATGTATTTTACCCTTCAGGAGTCAGATAATTTCATTTCCTAATTTTGATTCTAAAAAGTACCAAACAGAAATATATAGGATTTTTCCTGGGTTATATTCCTGTAGAAAATTATGAATTTCCTTCCCTACAAATATAGGGACGGAAATGAGTCTTTTATATGGAAATGTAATATTAAGTATTCTTTTTTAGAAAACACATTCAAGCAGTGCAAACAATAAAAATCAGCTTATTTTCTTAAGTAACCCCAGTGAAATATCAAAAACTGTGACCTTGTGTTTATGTAAAGACTTCTGTGGAATAAGAATTGTTACTGCTTTGAGACAAAATAATATACCATCAAAGTAAACAAAAGGCACTGACCTGGAGCACTCTCAACAGTGAATATGACAGTAAAATCCCTTTTGAAAATTAATAGAATATTCTTAAAACTAAGCGAAGTGTTGATGATGGGAAACAGTGCCACAACCTTTGATTTCAGATTCAAACACATTTGCTGGAACGTATGCAACAGCATGTCCTCATTCTGCTTTTTATAAATGCTTATCTTTTTTTGAAACCTCAAAAGCTAGGTGTGGAAAGTATTTAGGTGTTCCCACAGTCTTACCCTTATTTCATTGAATGAAGCTTAAAGCCCTCAATAGTTTGGAAAAGGGAAGGGAACACCTTTTCTCATATCAGCCTGTCCAAGCCATACGTTCTTTCTCCAACTTTCTCTTTCTTCAGAATCACATTATATACCCACTATAGAAAAGGGCTTTCTTAGTAGGACTACATGCCTATAATTGCCATACTTGCCTATTGCCTCAGTTGCTATCTTTTTAAGATTACAAAAAAATGTATTTTGACTGATCCAAATATTTTGATTAATTGTAAAATATTTGAACTTCACAATGAGGAATTAAGACTTTATTAGCTCTTGATTTATTGTAATTCTAATACTGTAATCTGCTGTAATCCTAATCATGCATTGTATCTCTATACATAATTTGCCATATTTAGTACAAATCAAGTTTGTAGCAAGAATTAAAAAAGCAATCCTTGAAGAATTACATCCACAAGGACTTCCAGTCATCAGTCAGCTTTATAGTTTACTTTTATTGTCAAGCCTTAGCACTCTGATTTAAATGCTCTGACTTGATTCATTTATTTCATAGGATCTGATTTAATAATTGATTTATATTAGTAAATATTAACATTTTAGCCTATGAATAGAAACATCCCACAGAAAGAAGACAGCAATAGTCCACTGATGTGACCATATGATTTTAGTATGTCATAACTGATGTCATGATCAAAAACACTGTTATACAAATTCTACAAGTGAAGGCAGAATAATACAAAAGAAGTGCAATGTGAGTTTTATATTAAAATGTATGCAAAACTAAAAAATCAAGAATTATAAGTAGCTCCAGCCAGCAATTCTTTCAGATTTCAACTGGAAAACAGTGACTACCCTTTATTTTATTTAGATGCACTTTGCTTAGAGTTTTTTTTTGCATAGCTTAAAATATTCCTGCATCATGTTTCTCATGTCTCATGATGCTTACAACAGTTTTCCTTTTAAAAAAAACCTCCAAAAATTTAAAATAAAAATTTACTTCTTCCCCAATACATAATATATCATTTCTAATTTTTATAAATACATCATTTTAAACTCATCAGATCTGAGCAGCATGCATTCATATAATGACTGTACAATTTAAACAGAGTTGTAGACTTTCTACAATGTAAGTTTAATCAGCTCAACCATTTTTATTTCAACACCTTGCTTGACAAAATCAAGCAACTGTGGAGGAAAAGAAAGAAAATTATTATTAAAAAAAAAACATTGAAAACAAAATTTCACAGTGCTTACCAGGATCCAAACTGGATTAAATATAAATTATTCTTATTTATTATTATTGGTTCTACATAGAAACAAACAGTTGACACACTTTTGAACCTAGCAAACAGATTTTTAATAGAGTTGCATCAATTAACCAGAGCACAAGCATCTGCTTTATCTTAATTAGACAGAGAGGTGAATGACCACTGTTTATTTTCACTTTCCTCATTAATTATGAAAAACTGCATTTAATTCATCTTGCATGGTGAGTGACTGGCTGCACAGATGTAGGTCGTAAGGGAAGTGACTCTCTGTAGGCAACCTGAATACAGAACTCTGCCCAAGGGGAGCCCTGGGTGGCACTGCACAATAATGCATACCATAATTGTAGTTTTTGCTATAGTCCAAACCTTCTTCTTGCTTGAGGGAGAATATCCCATTATAGTTAATCGGGGGAGGACTTAAGGGGCCTTCGAATTGTGGGCTAGAACACTCAGGAGATGTGCTTTCATAGAAAGATTCATATGGGCTGCAATAATTGTAGGGTTTCATGGACTTGGAACTGTCAAGTGTTCCATGACCTGCGGGAGTGTTCAGCTCTGGGCTGTGATAGGGTGGGTAGAAAGTAGAGTAGGGAGATCTGGTGTGATGGGCCGTTTCTCCTGTCTGACCCATTAAGAAACTTCTGGCATTCAGCTGTAGACATCCTGCCACCAAGTTTGTTGTTGGCTGGGAGAGACCTTTGCACAAATTTTGGACAAATGACAGCAGATCAGGCCTCTTGCCAATTCGTAAGATTTCTGAAAGAGCCCATATGTAATTTTTTGCCAGCCTTAAAGTTTCAATTTTAGACAGCTTTTGTGTTTTGGAATAACAAGGGACCACTTTCCTTAAATTATCCAGTGCATCATTCAGGCCGTGCATTCTATTTCTTTCCCTGGTATTTGCTTCCTGACGCCTAAATTTGACCCTATCCATTCTCATCTTGGTCATTTTTTTTTTCCGAAGAGTTCTCCTCCTGGGTAAACCATTTTCATCCTCTTCCTCTCGGTCATCTACTTCCTCTTTTTCTGTGTATTCTGCTGGAGATCTTTCAAAATTTGTTCCTTGGTGCATAATCTGTTTTACAAAGATTTCTGGCTTTTTATTTTGCTTTTGGTCTTCATTTTCTCTGGAAAGATTTCTGCAGATCGGGGACTCTTGCATTACAACAGATTCGTCAAACGGTAGTGTTAACATGATGTTATAATTTTATGTTACCTGAAAGAATGCCAATAGATGGTTTTTAGAGTGTGTGTGTGTGTGTGTGTGTATGTATATACACATACAAACATAAGATTTTATATATATATATATATTCTTCTATATATTCCCCTCTATACATAAGACAGTTGAAAACCATTATTTGCTATTTTTACAAATTAATTTAATTCAAATATATATATTTAAATGCAATATAACAATCAGAACAAAACAATGACACTTTTAATACTTTTTAAAACTACTTCCCCCTTTTAAAGTTTTTTTTGAGAACTCACAATATTTTTAAAAAATCATTTAATATGAATTTAATATAAAATAATAAGGTAACATGCATACATTTGAATTATCTAATGATTTTGACAATTAAAAAAGACAATAATTTTAAAACTTAAAATATTTTAAGGTGATTGGAAAAAAATCAACTTTTATATTACAATATTTTTCACATATTTTTCTACAAATCATCACAATCAAGCTAAATGAATTGGAAGAATTAAAATGTAAAAGAAGGCAAGTGAATCATTCAGTGACTTAATTAAAGTAAAGAGAGAATTTTTAATGATCAGTATGAAAATGTGTGATACACGGATTATTATTTTTCTGGTAAAGTAGGTCTGGAAAAGTATATTCACAGAAAGCATTTGGCAATACATTTTTTTGTTCTTTCTTTATTTTAAAATGATAGACTACAGAACCTAAACATTTTTTCCAATTCTACAATAAAGGTATTTGGTGTTCCCTCCTACCTTTTCAATAAAAATAAAAATAAAAATAAAAAAGAGGCAAACCTAAGTTTACTGTGGCATCTGTGTCCTTCAAGGAGCAGACGTTTCCCTCCAGCTAATATTTGACAGGAATGGTTTCAGGATTCTGACTGCAATTGTGCACGTGTGTTCTGAATCCGGAATGAAAAAAGGGGGGAGAAAAATCATTTGCTCCTCATTTTATTATTTCTACCCCTGAGGTCACTTTTTAAAGAGCCTTTCAGGTTTGTCTAATAGATAAGCACAAATTTACAAATTTACAAACAATTACGGAAGAAACCTTGACTCAGAGGCAGGTTTTTCAATTTAAAAAACTAAGCTAAACTAAGCCCACCATCAAAATATCAACTCTCAGTATTATCCATGCCATTCTGACAATATTACATAATTAGTGAAAGTATGTTAACATTTAAAAAACAGTGAAACAGAAGCAGTACCAAATAACAGCATTGTTAAAACGCAAGCTTTACTTTTTCTTTATATTTAAACTCTTGCATGCATGCATGCCCAACGGCACCACTTAAATACACAGACAAAAACACATAGAAATATTTATTTACTTGCATTACCTTGGCCTTAAAATTCTGATTCAATTAACAGATTTCATTTAATTGGTTTCTTCCAAATCTTTTCAATCTGAATGTCGCATCGTCTCCTGGAGTCTAGATATGTGTATATCTGTACTATCTCATTGATCTCTAAAAAGTGACATTGATGCCAACTGCCAGAGCTGGTACCCATGCCATCTGCTGGTGACGTCACAGGGCAAAGAAAACCATGTGATCTTTCCTCCTGGGACCTTCATTCTGCACTGATCATCTGGCATCTCTCTAAGTGGGTACCAGCATTCATGTATCAACACAGAAGGTTAGGCTGATAGGGGAGACAGAAAGCGGGGGGGGGAACTACACCATCATTTTACATGCCGAGGTGAATTTTTGTGAGTTTTGTTGAACAGGCAGAAATGTCAACATTTCCAATTTATCTTTATCCACAGGTAACTCTGATTTTTTTTTTTTATTGATACTCTGTTGATTTTATTGCAAAAAGCATTTTTGGTGTGTTGGTGAGATAGTTATATACTCATATACACTGACTATCCTATTTTTTTTTTCAATGAAAGCCATAAAACTGAAGAGGAAGAATTGTGCCAACCTGACAGTGATTTCAAGGATATTAGAAATTGTTTCTAACCTAGCCTTGCTGGAGAATTTTCTCACTGTGAGGCAAAAACCATTATTGATTCTGAATTGCTTATACTTATTTTCTCTGTACAGAACAATTCCCACCACTTTTTAAATACTTTTGGGGCATTTCTGATGGAGGGGGAAAAGGGGGGTTCTAAGAAATTTCTCCAAATTAGTGTTTTTTTCTCAGTGCACATATGCTGCCATTCTATAGTGTTTTCCCTTAAGACAACAATATGGTACACGTACACAAATGGTTTTAATCTGTATCAAGAGAGGCAGAGCAGTTTTTTTCCAGGGTTTCTTTAACAGTCGACTTTGGAAGTCGTTAAAAAGTGATGTATATTTTTGCTTCTAATTATTCCAATATCCTAGTAGTTTATTTATCTTTGAAATATTCCATCTCTCTCTCCCTCTCTCTCCCTCCCTCCCTCTCTCTCTCTCCCTTTTCTTGCTCTTCACACATCCCATGTTCATTATTTTTCAGTGTTCTGTTTTCTTTTCCAACTTTTCCCTCAATTTGCTTCATTAAATACAGCAGGCAAGAAACAGTTAAATCTGCCAATACAGCCAAAGATGCCAGAGTGTTACTGGCAAATTCCACTTTGCTTTTTCAGGAGGAACCATCTCCAAGAAGTCCCATATAGTTAACTTGCTGGTTGTTATAGTTCTTTACATTGGCATCATGATTTTAATCATTTTTTGGCCACCAAATATTTATGATTTATTTTTAATTCACAGTCGATTTAAGTTTCATGCATATGAATTTATTACTATTGCAATATTCTATTTCAACTTGGACTAATATTTTAAAAGAAATCAGGAAAAAAACACTAAACAATCATAGCATCATTTTCTAAATCTCTTAGTTAACTATTGCAGCACTTCACTTTTTTAATTTCATGGAAAATGAAGGTAATTTCCTCAATCTAAATTAGGAATTATGTTCAAAAAGAAAAGTTCTGTATCTTGTAAATAGGGAACAAGCTTTGATTTCACCTGGAGAATTTAAATAAATTCATTCCAATTTGCTCAGACTGAATATTGTATATCTTCATTGCTGAATAGTTTTTTGTTAGATACAATGGACTATTAAATCATATTTATGTAAAGAAAAACAAATATGAAAAATATGTTATTTTGGAAGGATCTTAAATCAAGCTGTTATTTAAAAAATGGATCTATAGTATATTAATAATGAATAGGATTGTAAGTTTACAAACAATTGAAAAGTCAATGATTTTAAGAGTTGTTCTAAACAAAGCAGACACCATATATAGTAAATCAGCTATCAACTTTTCCAATATTACACCTGGAAAGTGTAATATTCCAAATCTATATATATCCTTCAACCTCTTTTACCCCTAAAGGGATTCCTGTATAAAAGGTTCATGTTTCATAAAGCAATTTCACTACACACACACACACACACACACACACACACACA